GGTGTTGACGATACGCAGAGGGTCAAAAGATGTATTCATTGCTTGGCGTTGTGATAGGAGGTTCTTAACAACTGGTATACTAAGGTACGTGATTAAGGCAGCAAGGGCGATGTGCATCACACTGCGTATGTATTGACCTGTAAGGAATGCATAGTAAGTAAGAGAAGAATGAAAGATTGGTTAAAATTGTGAGCAATTATTGATGGAGAAATCATAGTTTATGACACACGAGGCAAAATTTGTATACTACCTGATTGAAAGTCTGCTCATTGATAGTCTGTTCATATTCATAGTCTATTGATAGTTCATATTGATACTATTAAGGCATTGATAGACTGCCTTAATTAAGAGCCTGCTTGATTTCTGCCAGTTTGATAGTCTGCTCAATTGATAGTTTGCTTATATTGATAGTACTGGTATTGGGTATTTATATTGCGCCTTTCACTTGCGGTTATGAAGCGCAAGCCAAGCCTCAATAATTCAGAAAAACAATGGTAGGCATAAAATCAGTCATTATTCAGGAACCGGAAGCATCACAATAGTACAGTCACACAAACAACAAAGACAAATAAACAGATTACAACATAATCTGTTCATTTGATAATTTTCTCACATTTAGTCTGCTTGATTGACTGTCTGCTATACAAACAGTCTGCTTCATTGATAGTCTGCTCATAGATTCATATTAATGTTTTTTGTGTGCTGGAATTTAAAAATTACTACCAGGGAGCATGATTGACTGAATGTCAGGAGTGCCAAGTCTCCCGGAAATCGCTGGAGTCTACCAGAAATCGGGACAACCTCCCACACTCTGGGAAAAAGTTTACCTGAGCGATAGTGAATGCATATGGACAGATTGTGGACACTATAATAATCTGGTCTGAAAGCGACACAGGTCTTCCTCTTAATTATCCTACAAGAGATCCTGAAACTGTGGACCTTCCCTATGAGATCTTACTTTCTTAAAACCTGAATATTTCCCTTCACTCCCATTAAAAACCAAAGAAGTCGTTCAACTCAGTTTTTATTACACAAACTTCATGTTTATTTTTAAATACTATGCATCTGCTGTTTGAGCTGCTGTTCACTATTATTCATATTTACTGTTTTTGCAATCATACAAACGGCCGCAACTGGCAACAGACTCAGCTTCATGTGTACTGTTTGTTAAATTGCATCACCAAGTTTTTGGAATTCATTATTAAAACACATTCACTGCCGATAGTCATCTGTTTATCATTATGGGAGTGATTGGTGCAACTTCAGGTCAGGGGTTTTAAATTTCTCACCATGCTTTTCATTTTTGCCTTTGAACAAGGAACTTTACCTACATTTATCTCTCCACCTAGGAGTATAAATAGGTGCTTGGTAGGATGTTGTGTCACTGAATAAGCCCTCTCGCCAGGATTTATTTAAAGAATTTCAGGAAATTTTGTCCATAAAATTTAACGGGTGGTGCGCGAACATTTAAAGGGTGGATACATTTTTGGTACGGTACTACTACTATGGTGTTGGAGACGACACGGCATGACCGGTGTCTCACAGTTTAAATTTCATTTACTTGATACCTCTATTTTAATTTATCATTGCAAACAATATATACACTTAAATTATGAAGAAACAGAAACAATTCATGAGAACTTGTACCTACAAGATGGAATCTAAATACAAAGATGCATACACTAAGTGTTGATGGGGCTAAAGTTTTGAACATTTTCAATCGTAGTATAATTTCTTCTATAACGATACAGTACCATTAGTTGTTAGTAAAAGTTGAAAAACCATATTTTCTTTTTTCTTTTCTTTTTTGGAATACTCAGCCAAAATTCTCTATAAACAAACGTGTTTCATATGAAATCCACGTAAATTCAATTCAAGAGGCCTCAATGTTGTTTTATCAATCACCGTTCATAAAAAATAGATGCTTCCCTGAATATTGCGATCGGCACGCATGTAGGGTACTGAACGTGCCCTACCTACTAGCCAATCAGGGACCTCAATGAGTTCACATTTACCTACTTGCATGCACAAGCGGAGTACAAAGACATTCTGCAGTTGGGGTTGCATTGAAGGTGGTGCCTCGCATATATGCGATTGAACAAGCACTGTTCCCCATGAGAACATTATGGAACTGCCTGCAGTTCAACACTTAGGTATTTATTGTAAGCCTATCGTTTTGAATAAAATACACTTAGTCCGTATTTCTTAGTGTGGCGCTAACATTTTAAGCGTGGCAGTCATTTCGTTTTTTTCACCCAAGTGTGGCGGTCCCACTACGCTTATAAGTATAGCTGAAAGTGGTCTGGTCTGAGCTTTATTATATTGCAGTATGACTAGGGATACTCCTCAGTGAGTGAAAGAGGCCAGTTTATAGATCCATGCTAGGGTTAATAATGTTGTAAGGGCTTTGAGACTTCCTTCTATAAATCAATACTATTATTATTATTATTATCGTTAGTGCAGTGGCGGATCCAGGAACTCAAAATAAAGGGGCCTACGGAGGGACTTTCACAGGTAGGTGGTCTAGAAATCTAGGGTCAAGGTAAGAAAATTTATGACAGTGGCACCTCTAGATGGCCGGAAATGGAACTCTCAGACTTAAATTTATATGTAATTTTTCTACATTTTTTATAATGTTGAAAAATTGAGCCTAGCCAGTTGGTCCCACCTCCTTGAATCTGCCAATGTAGTTGATTATTCTTCCCTAATGTTTAATTTACCTTGATGAAGCTGCTGTATATTTGATCTGCTTTCTTCCTGTATCTCTTTTACTTGTGCTATAACACCTTTTGAAAAAAACTTAGCAAAGAACTTATCGTCGAAGCAACAGATGCTTGGTAGTATAGTCAACCAATTTAAGAAGCTTAAGTTGCCGCTTAGAATCAATACGACCTACAACAACAATTTGAAAAAAATAGTGGTAATGATCATGAAAATGTAAAACTCCTTGGTTTTTATAATACAGGCCAATTTGTGACTGCCCTGTTGTATGTTGACCAAAATTAACAGTGCATAATATTGAGTGTTTTGATTAACACTTTTCATTGTTTTGGTGGTAGTGTGTAGGCACTGTAATTCAGCCTATTTATTTGATATGGTTGCATAAACTATTTTTTATGATATATAATAATAATATGGATGCTTACACCTTTTTTTATATAATATATATCTTGAAAATTGTTAGCCATGATTTTTGACCAATTTTAAATGTTTTTTTTTTCCTTTTAATGTATGTTACTGTCAAAACTAGTCAACAAATTACAATTATTACTACATCGTGATGTATTGCAAAACATTTTACTTGTATCTAAAAATATTATTACCCAATACTGTACCTGGAAAAGCACCTGAATAGTACCCCCAATCATCAATGTTGGTCTCCACGGGATGATCAGTAACCAAGGAGCACCCAGCTCAATGAAATGGTTTGAAGCGGTCTCGAATTGATGCATCCAGTCGGGAGACTGATGCAAGTAGTAGCTAACAGGATTAGGCACTGGCTGCGTCTACCAGAAAAAAAATCATTTATTTTTATGTATTTATTCTAGCAACCTTATTTAATTATTTCCTATTTAATGAATGGAATACAAACTTATATTTTTTCCTTCTTATAAAATTTTTTTGGTAAAAAACAATCTTACAAATTGCATCACAAAAAAAAAATACAATCTGATATTCAATTTTTAAAATTGATACATATTATTGCAGCTTTAGAATAAATTTTAATTTTTCCAAAGAAATAGAATTTATGCATCAGCAAACAAATGCCAAATACCTGAAATTGATGGCAGCTGCCAATAAAAGCAACTCTAAACATTAATTCTGCCACATTTAGACACCTATCCAACAGGTTATACAATATATTATGTAGCAGGAGGGTGGGGTATTTGTAAGGAATTTCACAGTTTATTTTTAGACAAAGCTGACATGTGTGGAAGGAATGGAGAGTGTTGGGTACGAGTTTAAGTTGATTTTGGCTAAAAAGGCTATTAGTAAGGTATTTTATATGATATAGACAATTCTGCCTGGTACAGGTGAAAGAGGAAGGGGCATAATTTAAACTTAGGTGGGGAAATATGTTTCCACTCACATTTCAAGCATTATTTTATACGGAAGTGTTTTTCCATACTACAGTTAAATTATGTGATATAAATTTAATACACACCACAACAAATTGTATATAAAATATAAATATATAACATAAAGAATATAATCAATGCTAAAAGTAACATGTATTTCTATACATCAATCTGTTTCTAATCAATCTATTATAATAGGTGATTTCAATTTCAAAGACTTTTACTGCCATAGTGACAGTAAAAAAGCATTCTTTTAATTCTGTATCAAAAGTACTATAAAGGGAATTAAATAAATTTATAGCTACACGTAAACGAGACCTACTAATTTCTTTATAGAAGTTTCAGTCATAAATAACTAGTATGCAAGTACTTGCAACATCAATGCATCAACAGTGCACTAGTCCCACATTTCATTAAAACAGCATTTTTTTGCTTGAACAAAAGCATCATAATTTAAAACGGAAATGAGCCGTAAATCAGTTGGGAACAGCCAGCTAATGTATGTCGATATAATCAAGAATTTGTATTTTATTTTTTGTTATTGATATTGATGATGTTGGCGTTGTTCTTATGTTGTTAAGTGTTAATAAATAACAGCAATAATAAATAAATAAAAATACAGTAATAATAACAGCTTTAGCAATAAAAGAAAAACAATAATAAAAATTATAATTATAATACACAATAATGATATATTTTTTATTATTTTTTTAAAATTATTTATTTAGGCACACAATACATGTGCCAAGGATTGTCAATAGCGAATATACTGTATCACTGTCCTACTTGTAGGTGACAATCCCTTACACAAGACACACATACACACACGATGCTTTACACAAACTAAATCTCAATATGAGATTTAGGGAGTGGAGTTGTTTTGGTCGTGAGAAAAAATCCTGCAACACTGACAGGAATTGAACCCAGGACCCTGGGATTGGAAGGCAAGCATCTTAACTACCAAGCTATTCAACTCCACTACAGCATGACAATGACAATACCAGCATCAATATAGGCCTACGCAAACACTGGTGACCTTACTTCGTAGTGGTAGTTCATACAGGTAAGATCTCTCCAGCACTGATCACCGCGTATCTTGATCAACCCCTAAACAAAGTAAACACATTAACACTTTCCATAATAAACTAGAAAGTAGAAGGGACACAAGCACTTAAAGAAATGCTAAAAGTGTTATGGATTTTACAACTGTTCTTTCCTGTACTGTATCCACACATTTTTTAGTAGTAAACAACAAACATGGAAATTGGCACACAAAGTATTACAATTTCTTTAATGGCTTTTGTTACTTGTCTGAGCTCGATGTGTGTGAAGAAATTACAATGATAATAAATTTTTAATAATACAGTACAGTATACATCAATTTAAATTTATTGAAAACTGTTAATAAAAAAGATTATACTTTATTAATACTAATGTAGAAAAATAATGTTGCAGTTGGTATGTAATATAAATTGTTATGGTGTATCTTGGTATACATTGCACCATGGAAACATACTTTTATGGCAACATAGTAACTTGTCAACATTACTTAATAGTATCATTTAAAAACATAGCATAGCAACATGGCATCCTAGCAACATTGAATCATAGCAACATATTATGGAAACATGATAAAACATTGGCAACTAGTATCATAGCAACATAATGTTTCCCTTACCGCACCAATCATGATCCTAAAAATAAGCCAACGAAATCCTAGCAATGTAACCAAGGGCGTGGGTGTCCGTCTTGGGATCTCACGCAGCGAGAATAAAGGGCACATAAATATTGCTAGAAATCCACACTCTAATAGTTGAGACTCCCATCCTGAGGCAAATATTAAATACAATTATTGACATAGCTGTATGAATGTAAAGCTCCCTCCACACTATCAAATGTTATGTGACAAATAAGGGGCAGCACCAGGAATTCACCGACGAGGTGTCCAACCGCCTCGACAAGGGGATCTACACCCCGGGAAAGCCTAGCCCTCCGGCGGGGAAACAAATAAATTCTTCAGGAAATTTTTGTTTTTAAAATAGAATTTTGTGTTAATTATGGGATTCTTTATTTAAAAAGAATAATTTGATAGAAACCCATGCAAGTTAAGAGCCCCTCCGCCCCTGACGGAGTACTAGTTCCCCTGACGGGAGTACTAGTTCCCGTCGGGAGTATTATCCCCTGTTGTGGGTACAAGCCCCTGTCAGAGAAGAGCTGGCGCCACCCCTGGAACCCATCACAATATACAACACTCACACATACATACAGAAGCAATGATTGCATTAAAAAGTTTTTAATCCTTAAAATTTGACAGCTAGTACGGCATGCTTGAATTGTACTTTTGGCGCTCGAGATTGGATTTTTCCCCGACGACCCTGCTGGAAATTCAGGGGGTCCTGAAGTCCCCGATAGGGGTCCTTTGCCCCAGAGCCCCTGCTAACGCATAAAGTGCAAAATGCTGGCGCTTCGATTCCATAGACGAACAGGTACTCAGAAAACGGTGATCAAGACAGTGGCCACCTAGAGATTAAATGCAAGCCTGACCAAAGGCAAAAAATAACAACCTGTACTGATTAAAGAGTATCATATTCTACAGAGTATCTACAGTATTCTATATGCCCATACTTGGGTGTATGACATCATTATGGCCATACTATGGCCACATCACACAAATTTTCACATGAAATTTGATAGTGTGAACAAACTTTAAGCCAAATTTTCTTTGACAAAAACACTGTTATATGCCCATCTACAATCATGATGTGTCATAATGGTCATCAATTGATGTCATGACCATATTTAGGCATGTCACATGTTTTGGTCAAATAAAATGTGATAGTCTGGACAAGGCTTTAATGTTGGACTACCTGTGTAGACTATTAGTAATTAATATTCATATTCATATTTAACTCACTTTAATTTATTGTTTTTATACCTAAATATTCAGTTATCCAATATAGAACCTATGTTTATTATAGATCTTTAGCAAGGCATTATGGGTAAGGGTCACTGTCATTTAGTACCCATGCACATTGGTTCTGTAATCCGATGGTGATTTTTTGCGATTGTTATAGCATTTTTATTTCCTTAAATTCTATAATTGGAAATAATGATACAAAGCATATTGTAAGTTCCGATGCATATTATGTAAATTTGAATTTCAAAAATTAAGCAAACAATAAATATTAAAATTTAAATATAACTTACCAAAACCATACCTACAAAGGAAAAAGAAAAGTTAAAAATTATTTTTTGTGCTGTTATATTTTGCTTCTATGAAGCCCATAACCTGACTTTTGCGAAGATGAGTCCTGTTGTAAAATGTAATGTTAAAGTTTCCTTTCTGAATTAAAATTTGTACCATAAATGCAGGTGTTGAAGCCACTCGATTTTAGAGACCTGAACTACTGTATCAACAAGCAGTTTAATATATTTTTATAATTTTATGAAACATAATTTAACTTTTTAAGGCAATCTTAAAAAATATAATGATGAAAATGTTTGTAGTGGTTGGTCAAACTTGCCACCATAAACTATTACAATTGTAATGGGCATGCTAACTCAAAATCGACCATGTAGAGATGTACATCGATCAGAATACACTCAACGGTTAAGCGCCTTTTAATCGCTGGCAGAGGCTATCGTTACACCAATCTTAAATAAATTACTGATACTGATTATACAGTATGTTTATCCAATCCATTCAAGCACATGCTATCAGAATTCGGAGTGGAGTTGAATAGCTTGGTGGTTAAGATGCTTGCCTTCCAATCCCAGGGTCATGGGTTCAATTCCTGTCAGTTGCAGGACTTTTTCTCACGACCAAAACAACTCCACTCCCTAAACCTCATATTGAGATTTAGTTCGTGTAGAGCATCATGTGTGTATGTTTGTCTTGTGTGTCGTGGACTGTTTTATGTGTACTGGACCCTCTGGGAGAACAGTAATTTGTTACTGAAGAGGAAACCCAGTATAAAGAACAAATAAATAAAATAAACAAACTGTTTTAGACTGATGTAACAACCACTTCCTTTAATTATTTTGTTCTTGTTTATTTAACTGTAAGTAAATGAAAGTAGTATACACCATTCATGATGAATTGTAATCTAATTTTACTGTTTCTTCTTCATTTCCAATCAAATCACTTGCTGTTACTCACCATCGCTGTCCAACATTCACCAGCGAGTGGTAAAGAATCCACAACCCAGCCATCATGATCATGTTGGCGCATCCTGTGAGGATGATGAACCCAGACAACATCAACCCGGCGTATGCAATGCTATCCAACCAATAGTCAACATTCTTCCATTCAGTAAACCAAAGTAAGGTTGGGCCGAAGTTCAGGCCATCCCATAAGTTGCCATTCACATGGTCACTGAGCCGTTTCATGTACAGATTCGCCGGCAACAGGCCCTTAGTGCCGATGAGTTCCTTGTTTTGATGTAGTGCAACCAGATATGCAACAACTGCGATTTAAAGAAAATAAAGATTGGGTGATGATCTGGAAGGGGGATGAAATATCATACTGTACATATAATAATTCCAATATTTACATTTATTGTAGAAGATGATACATAGTGAATGAAGCTCCCATATCGGAAGCACCCAATTATGGGCATCTGCAGAGGGAGATTATTTGTAATAATCACTGTAAAATGGATCGGCCTATATTTAAAATTTTGATGGTACATGATCTAAATCATCAGTGTGGCTCACAGTGTATAGCAAATTAGAAAAGGCTCATTCCAATGTCATTCTTTCAAAGGATTTTCATCCATGTAGCTTTCATATTTTTGGCACAACAAAAATAAATATAACCCAGACAGTGTATTAAGATAGCCTTTCTGCTTCCAGTTAGGGCCCCGCCAGCGTTTCTGCCAGGTCCAATGCAAACATTGCAAGGGGTCTATTGTAGCCCCTAGCTAGGCCTAGCAGCCTTGCCTAGCTACTGTAAATTGAAGTACAGTCCTACAAAAAGTACTAATAATAATGGTAGATAGGTGGGGTCTAGAGACACGTTTCAGGTTACAGACATCATTATAGATATAAGGCCACGGGAATGAAAGTTGTAGGTTTGCGTCCACCGCCCGCATGCCTAAAAAGCTACCGCATGAACATTTTCATTATTTTGAAAAAAAATATACTTCGTTTTAAAAAACGGACTTTCTAAGTCGTAAACAGACAGAAAAACGATCTATTCATCACTGATCACTCGTCGCGAACACCAAGCAAAGGCAGCCCTGGCCACATTGCACCATGATCGCCGATCACTGCTGAGGTCATTTACGGGTCAAATCGATCTTTCTGACCAATAGGAAATCTCGTATGTTTAAAGAGGTCTTAAATGTAGAAAAGGATCTGTTTTATAGGCTAGTGTACATTTATGAGTGTAAGCATTGTTTCTTGGGAATAAATGTAAAATTACCAATGCCGCGGCTTGTGGACAGCATTTATAAAAAAATAATGAATAATGAAAAATGAAAAAATGCCTCATGTGTTTTCAAAATTTTTCGGACGCAAACCTACAACTTTCATTCTCGTGGCCTAACCTATAACTAAATTAAAATTTTTACCAGGTTATAGACTATTTATTATATAAAATATAATTAACACGTTGGCTACCAGCGACGAGTATACTCGCCCACAGGGTGTTGCTAAGGGCGCCAGGAACGAGTATACTCGTCAAAATCGGGGGAACATTCTAGCGTTTATAACTTCTTTGTTATAAAATGTAGGACCACAGACTCAACGGCTGGTAGTTCGGGGAAGATACACCTAGATGATAACGTACAAATGACTGTATGTTTGTTGTGTTATGTTGCCGGTAGTACTCTCGAGCGGTACAAGTGGGGGCGCCCTTTGAACATATACCAACCCATGCAAAAAGAGGACAAGATAACTCGCACTTGGCATAGTCAGTAAAAAGTTCTATCACAGTGCCATCGACAAGTATAATCGCTCCCTATATTTTCCAGCCAATTTATTAGACACATTATTTTGATGATATATGACTAGATAAAATTTCAAAAAAGTATGTTTGTACATGTAAACTTGTTTTGGCACACGGGAAGGAACCGTAAAAAAGGTCTGGCAGTCAACGTGTTAATACTATGTTATAGTATAATTGACATAAGATCACTTCCTTTGATTACTGAGTATATGTTTACAGCGTGATTTATCAACTAAGACCCGTGTCCAAATGTTAACTTACAGTAAATAAAGGCCTGGAAACGTAGGAACACAATGCGGGTTAACCAGTAAGTACCAGACTCTAACTCGGTATTTTGGTTAATGGCAGCACTCTTTAGGGATTTAGCTACTTTCTGATCTTTTATATCATTTTCGTCAAAGCTATTATCCCGTAACTTGCGGTGTCGGATTGATGAAACATGATCCTCCTTCCTCCTTGCAGAAGAAAACATGGTAACGTTCTAGCATGTATAGAGGGCGTACGCTCAGTTTTTCAGTAAAGACAAAATTCACCGGGCACGAGGAACTTGTTTAAATTCATAAGAATCTTGCTCGTTATTGGCGCTGGCTATAATGAAAAAAACAGGAAGAATGCGTCATTGATCAACATCAACAATCAACACTTCAATTGTATAGACCTATTGAATAATTGATAAGTAGGGGCCTACCTAATAGTAAGGCCTTAAAAAATAAAACTTGTTTGTTTGCTTTCATACTGTAACAATTTGAATACAGGGCGGGTTGGAAAAAGTTTTTCTTTTGTTGTAAAATCATAGAAACAGTGAAAACTGCGCGATTTTCATTTTTTTCACCGAAAAAAACAATCATTTTTTTTCCGTGTAACATTGATCTGTGTCCAAAATCGACGAAAAAACGATCATTTGATCTTTTATACTAAAAGATCATTTGATCTACTTATACTAAAAAAACAAAAAAAAACAAAAACAAAAACGTTTTTTGAAAAAAAAAAAACAAACAAACCCGCCCCTAATTTTTAGGATTTTAGGGGCGGCGGATGATGGCAAACAAACAAGATTTTTTAGGCCTAGTGATAATTATAATGAATGAATAATTAAATGATTTGATATAAATAAATAAACAATAAAATACGAATATACTAAAATAATAAAATAATGAATGGTTGTATGTATGTATGAATGAATGAATGAATGAATGAGTGAATTAATTAATTAATTAATTAATTAATTAATTGATTAATTAATTGATTAATTAATTAATTTTAACACCAAATTTAATGAAAAGAAATATAGAAGTTGTTGTTTATCTAATCTTAACTAATTACTCAAGCATGGAGATTAATAACTTTTCGACTCCATGATACTGTGCTCTTTGTTATCATAATTAGGTGTTAATCATGTGACTGTTTAATCCTACTTCATTTCACCTTGTTTTCTATTACATGTTAATTTTTTGTTCACTTGATCTTGAAAATGCGTCCATGATGGACACGAAACGTCGATTTTTTTACGGTCAATAAATTTTCTGTTAAAGTTATATATATATATAGTAAACGTCTGTTGATTAGTAATTAATTAATTAATTAATTGATTGATTAATTAATTAATTGATTAATTAAATCGATTAAATTGATTCGATTGAATAAATTTGATTAAATTGATTAGATTAATTAGATTGATTGATTAGATCAATTGATTAAATTGATTAGATTGATTAGATCAATTGATTGATTGATTGATTATAATTAATTAATGGAGGGAGGGAGGAAGAAAGAAAGGAAGGAAGAATCAGTAATTTAACTGTTCCCTGGAAGAATGACTAAATGAATGATGAATGAATGAATGAATAGATAAACTTTAATCTTTTTTTAATTTAATAAACTTCTCAAAATGCAAAAATACAAAAGTGAAGGAGACGAGCCAACAGGTGACGAACACCTCTACAAGGGCTCGCTCTTTACAAGATACCGGTAGATATTTATTGGAAAGCACTTTGTAACAGCGGCAACCAACTGTGCATCCAAAACAAATAATTTAAAAAAAATAATAATAAAAAACACAACAAGGTCAGCAAGATACAGGCTTAAAATATGCAACAATCCTGCACAAAACAAACCGAATACAAAACTACACACAAGAAACCAATATAGAAATCTGGATATAAAAAATGACAACACAAACACGAAAACAATAAAGAAAGAAGAAAAATCATTAAAATAATAAGGGAAACAAGAATTGCTACAGTGAATATAAAAATCACTTAAATAGAAATTCCCAAGGTAAACCTCAAACATAGAAATATGCAGAATATATTTTTTTTAAAGATGAAAATTAAAAAACAAAAATCAATAAGGCAAAATAAAGTATTATAATATAGCATATGTATAATTGCCAGTAAACAAAAACAAATTCACCTCAAACAAAAAAAAAAATAATAATAATAATAAATAAATAAATATGTTGTTTACAATAAAAACCAGACACGGAGAAAATAATAAATAAAATAAATAATAAGAAAGATAAAAATAACAATCAATAAAATTGGCATCGCCAATTTGAGACCAAGGTAAAAGTATAATAAGGATTAAATATACTAAACATCGTATTGATGTAAAACTCATGTAAATATTGTTTGAATGAGGAGACCAAAGGGTTACAACGAATATGGTGAGGAACCTTATACCACAAATTTACTATTCTTTGAAGAATGAAGATTTGTGAGCTTCGGTTAGAAATGGTTGAAGTATGAGCTGAGGTTATCAAGGGACGCTCGTGTGTGAGGACGGGCAGATGGCCAAGCGGGGCATGCAGACAGGTAGGTACAAAATTAATAAAATATCCAAGATTACTTGAAAATTAGTGGCGATGGACTGATATTTTCTGTTATAAGATCTGCACGTTTTCGCAGACCAAATAAATAAGTATTATTAGACCAATGAAATGTTGGTATTTCCTAAGAAATATTTATGATGAGGTATAGTAAAGAAATCATGTCACGATTGACTTATAATAATGAATTATTAACCATCATAATTAAGTATAAAGGGCACTTTTAACTTTTTTTACCCTGTGCTGTTTATAAAAATGGTTCTTAAATCAACAAAACTATCCGCGGCTGTAAGACGTTTGTAAAACCATTTATTAATGAGTAGGGAATCTTTCATTTAAACAAAGCTAACAAAAATATGGCAGCAATGTACAAAATTTGGTAAGCAAAGAGGTGCTAGAAAAATACGCCGCTGCTAAGGTAATCAGTCCAAATTTTAAAGGAAAAGGGCTTCAAGAACAAAAAGGACAACTGTAAATCTGTATTGATAGGCCTAAATTTTTAAGCTCTCCTAAAATGTCATCAACTTAATAAAGCAAACAGAAGAACAGTAATTATAAATGTGTGCTGGTAGTGAATTCCAAAGTGTAGGTACGGCAAAAGAAAAAGGTTTATGGCCAATAGATTTTAAGTTAATAAGAATGTGCGGGAACGGAGAGCCAAACATTATCAGATGATCTTAGAGTGTTTATGTCTAGGAACATGAATATAGATAGGTTGCTTAAACCGAAGTGCTTAGTGTTACGACATCCGCACAGTTTTACAAATTTACACTAATAGGTTATACATATACAAATGAAATGATTCGGTACACATAAAATCATGTAAATACTTGCTCTTTACTGTAGCTCTCATCGCTCAGATGATATCATCAGATCCAAAGTTAAAAAAAGAATAAAATAAGTGATCGAAGTAGAACTGCGCTTTATAAATGCCCGTACCAGTACCAGTACCAGTATAATGTCAAAAGCAATATTCCAATGAAAAATAGTGTAACGGGCCTCTTTACCTGCCAAGTTGGCATTAGACGGGGGTGTATTTCATCCACTGTCCTCTTTGCAATTTTAGTTCCGATGAGGAGCTAGGAGTACCCTGATAATTGATTAATTAATAGATCGTTTTATGTGGACTGCCGTTAGGGCCACTATAAACACTCTGCTGATTGATTAACAGATCATTTTTTATGGGCGGCCGTTACTCTACTGCCTCTATTATACCATATATATATTCTTAATATATTTCCTCCATGATTATACTACCCTCATCGGATCATTCGATTACGATAACGAGGACTTGTTTATTAACGTTCTTCACTTGAGATTTATAAAAAAACTAGATTCAAGATTCAAATAACTTTATTGCAAATTGAAGGAAAATTTGAAATGTACAGAATAATTCAATGTAACAATATTAAAAATGTTTAAAATATTTAAAATACTCTAGTAAGTTTGTCGAAATAAGAAAAGAGGACACATTACAAAAAGGGCATAAATAAGGGAGACATACAAATGGGTAATTATACAGAATACAAAACTATACATACGATAGGGGTTTGCAAACATATATATAGTATTTATTATTTGTGGACGATCTTGTCCTCATGACTGAGTCCAAAGACCAGTTTAAAAAAATTGTTTAATGAACTTATATAAATATAAAAAGGGTTTACTTTTATGCGCATTGTGGATCTGAGTTATCTAAATCTAGAAAACTCAGATCTTTAAATATTTAGACAGTACCATTATTTTTAGTGGGGAGTTTTAATTAAAAGAGACAGTTTTAATAAAGAGAGGTTTACTTTTTATGTACATTGTGGATGCGAGTTTTCTAGATCTAGAAAACTCAGATCTTTAAATAATTAGACTATACCATTATTTTTAAAGGAGTGTTTTAAATAAAACAGATAGTATCAAGGTATCTTTTATTCATAAACAAAGTCAAAATACATTAAAAAAACATTTCTGGCAGTTCACAGAACTGAATTGCGAAAACGTTAAAAATACATTATTTATAAAATTATTAGTTATTTCAATTAAGATTCAAATTTTATTACTGTACAAATGATTTATAAAATTATTTTAATATATGTACAAATTAAGGAATTGAACATTCAGAAAGACATAAACATTTAAAAATTTACAACATAACAAGCAATATAAATAATCAGGACATAGATAAAAAAAACAAAAAAGCACAAAACAAGGGAGGTTTTACTGAGATGTGCTGAGGAAGAAAGGGTTCATAAAGAAAG